GATGTGGTGGTTCTGAGTGTGAATGAAGTAATAAACAAATACGATATGATTATGTGTATGGACTTAATAAAGACGTGTGATGGACTACAAATTGGCACTGGAAAACTGAAATTGTGTAATTCTTTGATTGAGTTGTCATCGAAACTTCGTGTTGCGACAATTGAAATTGGAACAAGCAAAGCTTATTTTGATGGCAAAAAATGGATTGTAAGTTGGGAGTGGGAAAACGAACCTAAAATGAAAAATAGATTAAGTCAGTAAAATGTAGCTGACCAACATCTTGAGGTGTTTAACAACGAAATAAATGAATGGATCAAATAAGGTATACTCATCAAATATGACGATAAAATCATTGTGTGACGATAAAATGATTGTGTGTCATTCAAGATAATAAAAAGAAGATAAGACCTGTGCTTGATTATCGTGAGCTTAACACGTATGTAAAAGCCTCTACATAGGATGCTGATGTCATCAATGATGCAATGAGGGAGTGGAGACTCATGAGTAAAAACAGCGATGACTCAGTAGTGGATCTACGAAGAGCATATTTACAAATTCATGTGCATAAAAAGCATTGACCTTACCAGACGGTCATCTATAAAAATCAGCGATATGCACTTACACGTTTGGGCTTTGGTTTAAGTTTGGCACCAGTGATGATGAGCTCAATATTGCGGTATGTTCTCCAACAAGATTCTGCACTGGCAAAAAGAACAAGAGGGTACATTGATGACACCCTAGCAACCAATGGAAATGGAAGAAACCTGGTGATACATATGAAGAAATGGGGTCTTTATGCAAAAGCACCTGAATATTTTGGCGAAAACCCAGTTCGTGCACTAGGATTAAAAGTCACAGTAAATCCATTAACAAAGGAGATGTTTTGGAAGAGAGGACGCAAGCTTCCTATTATTAAATCTGTGCTCACAAAGAGGGATATATTCTCATTATGTGGTAATCTGATTGCTAATCTACCAGTTGCTGGATGGTTGAGACCGCCATGCAGCTATATAAAAAGATGTACAAACGAACCAGGTTGGGATAAACCTATTACGAATAAGTATGTTATCGAAATGATGCAGGAAGTTGTAGATAAAGTCGTAAAGTGCGATCCAGCAAAAGGTGTATGGAATGTTAAACCAAATGCATCTCTGACTGTATGGTGCGATGCAAGTTCGCTGGCAAAAGGAGTTGTGACAGTGCAAGGTGACAGAAAGATAGATGATGCGACATGGCTCCGACCAAAGTCTGACGCAATGCATTTCAATGTGGCCGAATTAGATGCATGTATTTTCTCCATTAAAACTGATTCTCTTAGTGTATTTAGTTGGTTAAATTCTGAATTGACTCGTGACAAACCTTTGAAATGTGCTGGGCAATGCCAAATGTTAATTCGACGAAGACTTCAAATATTTGAAAAATTGGTCGAGGATTATGTCATAAATGTAACTGTTACATGGGTACCAACAACTAAAAATATTGCAGATGAACTCACAAGAGTGCCAACAAAATGGATTTTTTAAGTACCATTTATAAGTACGATAAACAGCAGATTCGAAAAATTCATTCACTAGCACTCATGGGAGTTTCCAAGAGTATGGAGTTATGTATGTGCGCTGGTATCCACGTTACCAGAGACACAGTGAAACAGGTTGTCGCTGAATGCGATGAATGTAACTCGATTGACCCTAATGTAATGTTGTGGGATAAAGGAAATCTTGCTGTTAGCAAAGTATGGGAAAGAGTAGCCTGCAATGTTACTTATGTTGATTCATCGCTATATCTCACTTGTATTGATTGCGGCCCAAGCAGATATACGTTATGGACACCATTTAGCGACGAAAGTGCAACTATGGTTGTTCAAACAATAGAGACAATATGGTCAACACTTGGACCTCTTTTTGAAGTTCTTCTAGATAACTCTAAGTCATTTAGATCTCAGCTTATGCAAACTATGGCTGCGAAATGGGAAATAAGGCTCATCTATCAAGCTGTCGAAAAACCATCGGGAAATGGAATAGTTGAAAGAGTTCATCGGACGGTAAAAAGAACAAATGCAAGAGTAAAACGTGGTATTCCCATGTCTGTATTTTTAAACAATAACGTTCCATCAAAACTCGGCACATCTTTTGAAATATTTTGCCAACATCACAAACGAGTTTGAATTCCTGGAATCGATAAAATCGAATCAGCACAAAAGTCGATGAAAGAGTGTCGTGACTGGAAAGTTGGCGACAAAGTGTGGGTGAAACCCAAGCACATAACGCCGTGTACGCAACGATGGCTGAAAGGAAGTATAGTGGCATTGCATAATGGTTTAACAGCTGAAGTTGATGTTAACGGACATACGTTACCACGACATTTTTCTCATCTGCAACATCGTCGTCTAGACACAAAAGAAGAAGATACAACAGATGATTATGATTCAACACTATTTAAACTTCCCGAAACGAGCTCAAAACACATTGTCAATGATGATCCAAATCTTCAAATAATTCCTCCGGATAATGGTAAAAATGACAATAGTACGGGCAGCGATCAAAACTATTCAACAGATGGTGAGACAGAATCATAGCCTATTCAATTCACTCGCTATGGAAGGAGAGTACTTCCTAATCGGAAGTACAACAATTACGTATGAGCTCCTGTTGAGCTAAGGGGGATTTTGTGCGTCATTATTTAGCGTGGTAATTATTGACAAAAGTCACAAGTTGTGATTTTTAATTATTATAACGTTTTTTATTAATTGTCGACAAGAGTTGTGTTATATGCTATATAAAGCGAATTTATTTTTTTTGTAAATGTCAACTTTGTATATAAGTAAAAGAAAACGTTAACAACAAAAAAAATGGCTTTTAAATGTGTCGAACAACATCTCTTAAACTTAAAAAAGTCGTAAGTATACTTCAATATGAATTTATTATTTGTTTTTATTTAAAAATTTATTTCTTGAAACTAAATTTGAATTGTTGCAAAACAATAACTTACAACGATTATATGGAGTTGTTAATAACAAGCTTATGTTTATTTATTTATTAAGTAAATTATATTATCAAAATACATAATAAAAAAATAATACAGTGACATTCTCGATTCTAGAGTGTCACTGTATTATTTAGATGAAGTGAAACTTAGATTTACAAATTTACAAAATAAAAATGAAGTCTGTTGAAAATACAATATTTACTTTCTAGAATCTAGAAAGTAAATTGGAACAAAGATTTTAAGGTGGCATTTGTCTTTTTTGTTGCTAAAAATCAACAAATTTTTCCTCTGATATTTTCAATGAACTGAGCTAAAAGTGTCATTTTACTTAATTTGAAGGGCTAAGGAAGCTCGAATTGAAAATTTTAATGTTAAATTTTTATTCGTTAACATTAACCAATCATAAAACGGCAAAGTTATCGTTTCGAGCTTTACCGAGTTCATTAAGGACCTTCACCGAGTTTGGGGTGCGCTGTGTACAGGTCCTCCGTAAGTGTACAGGTCCTCCGTAAGTATATTTAAGCTTTAATTTTCTTAACTAGTTAATTATTTAAGAAATCGTATTTTGAAACTTTATTCAAATTGGTACAAAACAATAACTTAAAACAATTTTTTATAGATATCAAGCGTGTCATAATTTTTTAATATAAAAAGTTATTTTATAAAGATACAAGAATTAACAAAACGTTTGATACATTGAGAGCGTCTGTTACTTTAGCTTAAAAGTATAGAGAAGTATCAAATATATGAAGTAAAAAAATATATTTATAAAATGATTCTGTGAAATAAAGATTTTAACGACTTCTAGTATTTGTTTTTTTAAATATTTCTAAAACAAAAAGTTTTCAATTTATTATTATTAACAAAAAAACTTTTTTTTAGTTAGAAATTAAGACATTTGTTGTTTGTTTTTGTCGTTTTTTAAAAATAAATTGATTTAAAAATTTCTTAATTATTTGTTATTTCTTAATTATTTGATATTTGTTAATTTGCTTTCATTCTTTCATTTAATATACTATTTTTAAAAATTTGTCTTGAAAAATTCTTGATATTTTTTAAACTAAAATATGTATTTGTGTTCGGTTTGGAAAATGCCGCTTACATGTACTTGTATTTGAATAGCGATGCTTCAACAACCTTGGCAGTCATGTTTTAACAATGAAACTATTTTTATTTATAATTTTTATCAATTTTTTTCGATTAAGTTTTAATATCGTTTTCCATTGTTTACCGTATTTCTTATTATCTGTTCTATATTTTTATATACTTTTTTATATATATTTTTTATATACTCTAATTAAACGGAGATTGCATCACATTTTATAATATAAAATATACAAATTATAAACAGATAATATTTTATATCATAAAACATATAAATAGTGAATTGATTTTTTTTTTTTTTCGCATTTCAAATTAACGTTGAAATCAAATATTTTAACTCTCACTCTTTGAGTTTTTTTTGTTTATTCACATAACTTATTTCAAAAAAGATAGTCGAAGGAGATTTTTGATTTAAATTTTTAAATTTTTTTTTTTTTTTTTTACATATTCGATTTACAAACTTAAATTTAAATTCTGTGTTTAAATAAAGTACGACTTCTTTATTTGTTAATAAAACAACTGAACGTTGTTTTTGTGAATTTAAATCAATTTCTTCGTTTGTTTAGAATGTATTTTTATTTAAATTAATTTGTTATATATTAATTTAAGCATGTTATATTTATATTAAAACTAAATTATTTTGTTTTAAAAATGTTATAAAAACTATTATAAATAAATAAAGTTTATGTCAATGTTAAAATATCATATTGTTTATAAATTGATAATGATTTATGTAATAATATGTAGATTAATGTATCATATATATTATAATGTATATTTCTTGTATATGATGTAAGAACATAATATATTTATGTATTAATATGTAGAATGTTATAATGTATATGATATTATATTTTCAATTATTATTTTAGTTTTTATGTAATTGTTATTTTACATTTATTTTTTTTTAGATAGTCTACTTAAATTATCTCGTCAAAGTGAAGACGATCGTCAACTTGAAGCTTATTACGTTAATTTATTCATTGAATGTTTTTATGAAAGTCAATCATCATTAACTGATGAAATAAAATTAATCGTTAATAAACGATATTGGGAGATTTTCATTCACGATGGAAAAACTTCTTACGAAACTTCTTGTGAAAATTATTTCGTAAATCATTACATTAAATCTGGAAGAAAGTTATCGAAGTTATATGTTGATAAAAATATTTTAAGTGATGAAGAAAAAAATATTATATTTCAATGTTCAATAAATGTTTGCAGTGTCTTCTTACGTTGTCCAATTAAAATCGAAGGATGGAAACCAAAAGATAAGATTGAAAAGTTGTGGATAGACATTTCACGTTATTTAATAACGAAAAAAGATTTTGAAGAAAATTTTCTTCCGTGGATTATTCTTTGTTGTGATGTATTACGTCTTGACCTTCACGACGACATCGACATCAATTTCATTGAAGAGATTTGTGAATGTGAATGGACTCGTTGTTCGTTGTTCAAGTTGTATATCTACTACCGTAAAAATTTCTTTTCTAGCTTCAATTCATTAAAAGAATTTAAAACGCGGAAAAAATGTTTAATATCTTAAATAAAATATAAACAATAATTATAAAATAATAAATGAAATATTTAATATATTATTTTATAATTAAATATGTTTTAAAATATACGAATTAATTTTAATAATATTTTAGTTTTATACTTTTAATATACTTAAAAATTTTAATTTGTTTAATATTGTTTAATAATAATTTTTGTTTAATATAATTTTATAATTTTGTATTAAGTTATAAATAATAATAACATAAATCATTAATTATTTTATATAATTATTATTATTGTTATTTTTGCAACATAATTATTTCTTTCAGTAATAGATTTGCAACATTCTAAAACGTTTTTATCTTTTTTCATCAACTTCTAAAATAAATGTTTAAATTCAAGTTAGTTTCTTATTTAAATAACTTTAATAATAATTTTTATTAAGTTAAATATATATAGTTATAAATAAATAAAAACTAGAATTGATGAATAGAAAAAATGAATAAAAAATATGAAAATTGAGTTAATAGTAATGTTATGTGGAAATCTTTTGTTTAATATTTTATATATTAAAAATTTTTGTTGTATATGTTTAATATATATTTTTTAAATAAAATATTAAATATATTTTATATTATTGTTAAAGTTATTTTAATTTTTGATTTATTAAATATATATTATGCTCATGACGATTATTTTTAAGTTTTAAAGTTTCCGCCATTGGTTTCTTCACACGATTTTTGTTGCCAAAAAAAAATTCGATAGTTTTGCAGAATTTTTCTTCGAATTTTGTTTGGAAGTTAAAGTTTGATTTAAGTTACAAATAAGGTTGTTTACTTAATTGTAAATTAATAAATAGGTATTAATATTCAAAATGTTAAACATCTTCGGAATAGGATCTAGGCTGTAGCAAGTGAAGCAATATTGCTACAATCAGGCCAGTTTTTCTTTCCCTTTTTATTTGTTACATACATTTCTTTTTTTAATACAAAAGAGAAAAATAATTTAAACAAGATTTGAACAAAAGGGTACAAGTAGTTAAAATGCGGTGCTTCAAAAATTTATTAAAAACTGTAGCTTAGCCTAGATGACTAAGTTACTGAAATATTTCATTCGGAAAAATGAAATGCTATTGATAAACCTTAGTTTTTATCGGGTTACATGCCTAAAAATTTTTAAATGAACGTTTAACATTTTGCAGCGCATCAGTAAAAATTGGCTGGAAGTTAAAATAAAAAGGCACATTAACTTTAGCTAAAGTCCGATTGTCATGTTTTGAAACGATTCAGTGATCAAGTGAAAGAATATTTACCTTATTTTTTTAAGCATTAATATGTAATCCCTAATTATATATATTGAAAAGTGAATTTTTACAAGATAAAGTTTAAAAGATAGCATTTATTAAGAAAAATACAACTATTAATCTCCTCCTATGTCCTACATGTTGGGATCAAGATTATGCCTAGCAATTGACTGGGGGTTCCTGAGAGCAATTAAAGAGATCACAGGGTCGCTTCTGCAGCAAATTGAATCGACACACTTTGCATGTATGATTATTTCTAACATTTTTCTGGACTTGTTTTGTCCTGAGCCTCTTCAGAATTGGTTCTAATGGGAAGATCCAAATGCTCAACAATTAAAAATCCATGTTCTAGAACTTTGTAAAGCGTATGTGATATAATGTATAAAGGAGAGGTTTCCATATTAGCTTTGAAATTTTATAGTATGCTCTAAAAGAATTGTGTATTAAAAAAAATTCACTAATAGCCACTTTTTGAGCTTATCGCTATATTGTGCGACTCTACAAATACCACCTATAATTTATCATGTATTTAAACTATTTAACTGCAATCTTTTATTTAACAACGAGGTCTTACGTTATGACAAAAAGTCATAAAACGAGAACCTGTAGCAAAAACAAAATTTGTGTAGCAAAGACAAAAGTTCTGTTAAATATATACTCTCCGTATATGAAACTTTTTTTAATAAGTGTATAGCAATTATTAAACAAAAACGATAATTTTTTTAACTATAAATTCTAAACTAAATAGCACCGTTTTTTGGTCTGCCTATACTTTTTCTTAATTTAGTCTACAATAAAAATGGCGAAATTTGTTAATGTTTATGAAAAATGTAGAAATGTGTTTATTGCTGTTCTACAAGTTATTTATCATTGAAGTCAAACGTTTCAACAAGTTATCAATACATCTAAAAAAATTTTTTAGATGTAATAATAACTTGTAATACAAGTTGTATGTTTAATGGTCTTAAACTCCTTTTGAAAATTTTTATGTGATCAATTTCATTTAACTCTAGATTCAATAAGAGTCAAATAGCAAAGCAAAGAAAACTATATGTGATACAAATCTAAATAAAATAAAAAAATCAGAAAAAAGGCATAAAATGTCAAGGCAAGTCGCAAATTATACACATGAAGAAATAGTCTAGCTGATTAAAATGCTGTTATAAGAAACACTAAAGAACTACTTGAAAGAGAATATAGAAATTCTTAAGTAAAAGTAAGCAAGCTTCGACTTTTAGTACAGTCGGCAAATGTAAAAAACGAGGATATATATATTTTTTTATTAGGAAAAATATTTAAGGCTTGGGTTAATAAATAATTAATGGTGGATTACAAGTATTAGATTTTCAGAAAATAATAATAAGATTCTTTTATAATAGTAAAAGACCTTTTGTCTTAATTTTGTTACTAAATGATTTTTTGCAAAATTTGAGATTAATTGATAGTTTGATATTGTTAACTCTTTGGTAAACTGTTTTCGTTACATCTGTTTATAAGGTAGATTACGGTATTATGAGCGCCTTAGGCGAAAATTAAAATATTTTAAAAATTAGTTATGCTGGTTCCAAAATTTTTGCAAATATACAATTATATAGCGATTACTTCTTGTGATCTACTTAGATATTTATGAATTTTAAATTTCATAGTATAATATTTTAGCGTTCAAAAATTATAACCGTATAATTATATGGTTATAATTTTACACTTTACATAAATTTTAAACTCCTCTCAATTTGAAGGGATTTCAAATTTTATATGGTCATTCTTTTTGAACGCTGAGAGATAATGCTATGAAATTTAATATTTATCGATGAATATAAGTCTAGTTGAAAATAGTACAAAAAATATTTTAACAACTTGTTGCTCTCACGTTTGGGTCAGGAAAGAGGGAGGCAAAATTTTGGGGATTTTTTGTTCCCAAGCAATAATCATCGTATTTTTTTGCAAAACGTCCTTACTTGACATAAGTATAAACATATAAATGTTTGGAGTTTGCTGAAAATATCTGAAAGTTAGCTATTTCAAAGACCAAAAAATGCTTTTGGCGCCCCTGATATATATACCAACTACTAAACACCTTTTAGTTCCAAATATAAAAATGGTTTAAACTAAAAACTGTATGTAGAACAAAACAAACAGATGAAACAAGCAAAACTTAACACAGCATTTTTTTTTAGTAATATCGCTGTGTGCCAGATTTCTATTTAATAAAAATTTGTTAAAAACAAATTGAGTTTTTATATTTGATAGAAAATAGATTTTTTATTTGATAGAAAATTAAAATGAACTATGGAAAGTTATATGGAAAGTAAAAATGGAAAGTTAAATATATATATGGAAATTAATGTAGGGAGATTTTGGCAATAAAAAACTTACTTTTACTGCAGGCGCAGTAAAAATGAACTTTTGAAGCAAAATAAATTTGTGCAAAAAAGAAATGTAGAAACCTTCAATAATGCAAACTAAATTAAGAAGTTTTTATTATGTAAGAACAACGCGCAAAAAGACCATTATCCTAATATCAATATAAGATGCATAAAGTAGAGTTAAAACGCTTTGAGCATTTTGAGATTTAGATGAGGATAATACTAAAAATTTTTTTTTTTTTTTAGTTTACATTAGTTACATGTTGTGATTTCCATGTAATACAAACATATAAACTTGGAATCTGGGAGAAGATCATATCGATCTTGCCGCCAAAACCATATAAAAGTTACAATATAAATATAAAATAATATAATACAGGTAGTTTATAACAAAATAAGAATCCAAAACATTTGAAATAAGAAACGGTTAAAACAATATCTCAAAGATATTTCAATATATTATCCGTAGAAAAAATAATATTCTTTAACTTGTTTTTAAAAATAGAAAAAGAGATAGATGAATCTAAATTAGGCTGTACAATTTTATTCCAGATATAAGGTGCTCGATAATCTATAAAAAATTAATTAAACTTTGTTTGGCAAAAGGGTTCTTTTAAATAGTTATTATTTCGCAAACTATATTTATTCTTTACTTTAAAGGTAAATAGATCTTTAAAAACATGAAATAAGGGGTTATTCATATAACAAAACGTAAAACATAAAATATTGTACAAGTTAAGTTCATAAACGTTTAATACATTCATATCTTTATATAGAGGTTTTGTATTTGAAAAACGATTTAAAAAATATATAATTCGCATTGCATGTTTCTGATGGCGGTAAAGACGTTGCAACTTACCTTTACCTGTACTTCCCCATGCAATATTTGCATAGTTTATATAGCTATGAATAAATAAGTAGTGTAGTTGTTTTAAATTATTTTTATTTAGATAATTTCTGGCCTTATAGAGGATACCAATACTTTTCGCAACTTTTGTTGATATATAATTAATATAAGCTTTCCATGTTATATTTTCTTCAAGATAAATACCTAGGAATTTTAAAACGGAATCTTTTTTTATTTCTACTTCGTCAATATAAAGTTTAGGTAAATCATAAGCCAAAAAGCGTTTTTTTGTTGAGGAGTGGAAAAGGATCCACTTTGTTTTGTCAATATTTAAGGTTAATTTATTGCATTTAAACCAATTAGAAACTTGATTAAGTTCTTTATTCATATCTAAAAAAAGTTTGTTAATGTCTTTGTTTGATAAAAATAAATTGGTATCATTAGCAAACATGATGCTTATAAGATTCAAGGCCTTATTTAGATCGTTAACGAATACTAAAAAGAGAAGTAGGCCAAGGATAGAACCCTGTGAAACACCACATTTTATTTCAATTAATGTTTTATTTTG